TTATCTGTTTCTCGTTTGACGGGGGCCGAGGGTAAGGTTGACTAATGTGATGGGATATGGAATGCAGTGCTGGCAAGGCGGTATGGGAGTCATTCATAACTTGCAACGATGCCCACCTACACCAGATATTCTTAAGCATCTTTCAACGACTATCCTTTGCCTAGGCCTTAGGGCCCTAACATTACATATCTTCTTTGTCCCTGGAACTCCGGGGTTGGTCTTGGCGGCCATGCATGCACCTTCGGATGAGCAGCCCGATAATGCTGCAATTGGGATTTTCACTATTAATGCTATTGATATTCGCTATCTGGGGAACTTCTTGCCTAGTACGGAAGACATTCTAGCGAATTTATGAATTTTCCAGTCTGGCTGAGTATCTTCGATGGCTCTGAGGTCTAGAAAGATCTTTGTGCTCATGGACTACGCGTACTGGTCTTGTTGAATTGTGGTGAATATTTGGATCGGAAATGATTTAGAGAAGCATGCAACAGAATCTATTCACAGAATATTTTTATCAAGCCTTTAGAACCGGAAGGTGGCCCCGTAGTGAGATACGAGCGGGCTTCAGTTATCTTGCCCCAGGTGATTGAGCGCCTTCACTTCTACCCTCAACACCTACGTATCTTTGGGTTCAGAGAGGTTCAACATCTTGGGTTGGATGAAGTTGAGGCCGTAAGTAATCATGAATTCGTCACGAAAGACGGATTACAGGAGGGTGGTGAACGCGTAAGTGCCTCTTGGAAGTTCAACTCGGCGCATGATTATCTTTCTTCCCGAATGCTATGATTCAAGTTGGAGGCATTGTTGACCAAATTTATTATCGTACAGCTGCTCGCGATGTCGTCACCACACAATCTCAAATGCACCGGCGAATCCCCCTGCAGCAATTGTATACAACGCAACGTAAAATGCCAATTCGCGAGGGCGGAAACGAAAGTGCAAGTTACCAGAAAGCGACTGTCCGAGTTGAACCGCAGAATCATGAACTAGAGAAAGAGAATCTCGCTCTGTAGCAACGACTGTCGGCCACTACCGAGGCAGCAGTAACACCGGAACACTCTCGACTCACCTCGCCCATACATCCACGAAGTCCCGGAATTGCCGACTCACCGTCTAATAGATTAACCCAATTTCACGATGAGCATGAGGAGGGTGTTAGTATGGTGGACCCTTTGTCCTGTGGGCCTCCTAAGTACATCACAGACACAACAGGAACCCCTCCGTAAGCTCATCTATCCCTTATGGCACCAGCAACCACCTAACCAGATATCTTAGACTACCTTGGTCATACCTCGACTTGGTCTCTTACTGTCAGACTCTTACATTTGACACACGAGGCCCTATATAATTGCCCATTCCCAAGTGCCGCTCACCACGTCGACTCTATGACCTACGATCTGGAATGGAATGGGCTGCGCAGCCAGGCTATTCCCGACCTCCGTGGTCTTCCTTCACTTGACCATGCGCTTTTCCTAATCAACACAACCAAGTTTCATACTGGCCAACTTTTTCATTTGTTCGATGAGCCCAGTTTTATGGCACAGCTCTACCACTTCTACGAAAACCCAGCCGAAATTATTCGCACCGCAGGATTGTGGCTTCCACACTTCTTGGTTATTATTGCCCTTGGCAAGGCGTCTATTGGAGCGAAGGGCCGTGGGAAAATGCCTCCCGGTGCGGAATTTTTAGAGCTGCTTTCATGATGCTTCCGGACTATAGTTTCCTGTGGAAGGACCCATCTGCAGAAGAGCGGCAAACCTTGTTGAATCCCCAAGTACCGATGGAAGCTGTTGGCGGCGACCATGATCGGCCAAGGAAGACATGTGGACAGGCAGAGGGCGATTGCATCACTGAAGTTATCGATACCCTGAATTTCCATGTTCACTTCTGTGCCCAGATGTACCAGCAGCAGCCACCAAAACAATTTGAATCTTCATCCAGCAGAATCGATTACAGACCTTTAGAAGGATTTTTGCTCGCTATCTCGCCCTTCAATTTTACCGCGTTGGGTGCGCACATCGCTTTCACGCCAGCTCTCCTGGGAGATGTCATCCTTTGGAAGCCTTCACCTATGGCTGTGCTGTCGAACTATATTCTGTACGAGATCATGGAAGAGGCAGGTCTGCCCAAGGGTGTTATCGAATTCTTGCCCCTGGCCGATCCGAGAACAGTCGTCGAGCCAGCCCTCGCCAATTCTCAATTCGCTGGTCTGCATTATACCGGCTCTTCGGCAGTCCTGCGAACTCTCTCTGCTCAGATTGGCGCCAACACCAACATTTACAAAAGCTTTCCTCGCATCGTGGGCGAGAGTGAGGGCAAGAATTTCCATCTTGACCACAATTCCTGCAAAGACGACGTTGACTGGATCGCGTCTGCTGCGGTGCGCTCAGCATATGAGTTCCAGGGCCAGAAATGCAGCGCTTTATCCCGGATCTATGTCCCGAAGTCCATATGGGAACAGGGTGCTTTGAGATTGGCATCGATTCGTGAAGTAGCCAAGATAACTCACGGCAACGATGTCAAACAACTCCACCATCCTCTGGGTCCTTTATCCTCGGAGGCTTCGTTCGAGCGATTCCAACGATTTGTTCGGTCCGCCAAGGATGGTGGTCATGAATTAGTCTACGGTGGCAGCCCAGATGGCAGAAAGGGGTTCTTTGTCCAGCCTGCTATCTTTAAGACCAAGGAATGTGCCGGGAGTCTGGAATCTGACTTGATGAACAAGGAGCTCTTTTGTCCCCTTTTTGCCATTCAAACCTATGATGATTCCGGATTCGAGGAAGTCTGCGAGCTCATTGATCGCGCTTCCGAGTACGCCTTGGCAGGGTTCTGTCTTTGCCCGTGACAGGCGCTATTAAAATTGCAGATGAGAAGCTGCGAGACTGGTCGGTATGTTTTGCATCAACGACAAAAGCACTGGGGCGGTTATCAGTGCTCATCCCTTTGGCGGAGCCCGTTCAAGCGGTACAAATGATAAGGCGAACTCGGTCAATGATTTGCTGAGATTCTTGAGCCTTCGTTGTGTCAAGATTCTTATGTGACTGGCAGTACCACCCTGGGTGCTTGTCATGTTCCGGAATGAATGTGAAAGGGACTAGGCAGATAAAATCGAATTGAACAGTCTAGGGAAACTATTTTTCACAAGATATCCAATTCTTTTAGTAGATAGTTGAAAGTGTTATTATTGGAGTAAGACAATACTTTGGCTGGGTATACTACTATATCTCAAATTGCAACGCAACTGAAACCTTGCCAAAATATTTATCTAAACATGCTACTGACTAATAGATGAGACCCTGAGATATTCAATATGTTTGGATTGAGTAATATGTAGAACTGTGTAGGTAATAGGGAGAGGAAGATTGTAAGAGTTCACTACTGTGATCATACGACCAGAGACTCAAACAGTACGATAAGGTGAAAGCAATTCTCGGACAAGCTCTCCGAGCATCCCCTCACGAAGAGAGAGATCCATATCGAGAAAGAATTCCCCTCGCCGGGCCGAGATTGTCTCGGTCCGTATATGATGAAATGAGTAACTCCAGAGGGGCTACCTCGAAGACTTGACGATATATTACATATTCATTATCCCAGGGTATTGGCGAAACTTAGACTTATCTCAAAACTTGCCACTCACATCAACAATGGGAATCACTCAATTGACAGTCGCCGTCATCGGCTGCGGTAAGTAAAAGACATCCCCAGGAAGCTTAAAGACAAGAACACTGTTGACTTTATCCGAAAATAGGTACCCTAGGAACAGCTATCGCTGCTGGCATTCTCGAGGCAAGAGACAAGGAGGATTTCGAGGTCAAGCGCCTGATTTGCACCGTCGGAACCTAACCTTCCCAGCGACGGGTTGAAGCTGCCTTCTCCGAGCACAAATCACGGCTCACAGTCTTCACCCAAGACGAGAATATCCGTGCAGTACAAGAAGCGGATGTGGTACTACTAGCCTTTAAGCCTTTCAAGCGAGGAGACGTCTTTGCGGTCCCGGGGTTCACAGAGGCCTTACGTGATAAGTTCGTCGTCAGCATTATGGGGCATCACCACCAATGAATTGAGTCGCCTAGTTTTCGGTGAGACTATGCCTCAAACAGTGGAGCTTTGCTCCAGTCTGTACGTGCAATGCCCAATATGGCAGCCAGGATTCGAGAGGCTGTGACATTGTACACTCCCAGCCCCGCCACCTCCAAGGAGAACATCGAAATCGCATCCTGGGTATTCGGCCAGGTCGGCGAGGCCCATCAGCTCCCAGAGAAATCTTTCGATATCTGTACAGTCTTGGTTGGTTGTGCCGGCTCGCTGCTGCTACTTGCCATTGATGGACTGCTGGATGCTGCCGTTGCCGAGGGCGTGAAGAGACCCGAGGTACAAAACCTGGTAGTAAACAGTGCGATTGGTATGATGAAATTGGTACTTCAGGAGATCATCCAAGTGTTCTGCGAGAGAAGATTGCTTCTCCTGGGGGCTGCTCTATTCGAGCTCTGTTGGAACTGGAAAAGCTAGGGGTTCGTCCGGCGTTTACAAGTGCTATCCTGGCAGCGGCGGAGAAATCCAAACGGGTCTGCAAAGACGAACCTTCGTCAATTCATGTCTTGACCCCTGGTTGTACATATAAAGGCGCTCCGTACGGTTTATGATTTTTACGGCCTTCGTCTACATCTAAAAGGACGTCTGAGAAGAAATCGGAGTGTTATGTTACATATTCTGTCTCTAATATCATCTTGAGCCAGATAAATCAGATTGTTCAAGTCTTACGTCGTCAAAGGCAGAGGCACTTTGCGCAAATATTCTATCCTTATGGCAAAGACACCGTTTAAAATCATTCGCTTGAATGTAATAGCGCGGGTCCCGATGAGGTGAATCAACATCGGATCCCCCTCCCGAGTCGTAAACGCAATGAAATAGGCCGCCCTCGCGAGAAACCCTCTTATGCTCGATTCTTCGGTATATCTCAAACAGAAACAGAAGATCTCCTTTCTTTCAAGCCGTTCATAATGGCACTTGCCCCAAAGCCTTTTCGTTTAGCATTTCTCGGTTGTGGTAAGAGAGAACATATCACTTCCTCTCATATCTACTAGGCCTACTGATGGTTAACTAACTGAATTTTTCAGGCCACATCGGAACTGCACTACTTAGAGCTCACTGCCATCCATTCATCAAGGCGGAAGTCCAATCTCCGAAATTACCGTTGCTCTCAGCCGGAAAGAATCAGCAACACGCCTCCAAAACCAGTTTCCCGACAGCCTAGCCCAAGTGAAATTTGTTTGGCGTGAAAATGTCAAAGCAACGGCAAGTGCAGACGCTATCCTATTTGCCTTCCCTCCGGATCAGATCCAGGGAATTCTGGGAGATGTCGAAATGAGAGAAGCTCTAGAACACAAGGCCATCATCAGCATTCTTGCGCGAACCCCAACTGCTGAAATCACCCGTCTTCTAGGGGATCATCAGACACCCGGAAATGGAAACACCCAAATTATCCGCGCGATGCCAACCATAGGGGCAGAAGTCCATGAATCGGCAACCCTCATCGCTGAACCATCTAGCAAAGCAACAGAGGCGATGGAATTAGGTTCGTGGATCTTCAATCTCGTTGGAAAGGTCCTTCACGTTTCTGACACTTATTTTGACACTGCGACTGGAATGAGTGCATTCTGCAATTCCCTTACAACAGTGGCGATACAAGCAGTTGCGCAAAAGGCCGTTGCTGAAGGGGTCCCCGTGGATCATGCTATCGCTATTTCCTCTCAGTGCATTAGAGGGACAGTGAGTTTGATTTTGGAGGGAACTCCGCCTGAACGGTTGAAAGAGGCATTATCTGCTCCCGGAAGCATAACTGGACAGGCTATTTCAAGGCTTGAAGAGCGAGGGTTGTTGGAATTGGTTGATTCAGAGCTAACTGTAGCTATTCCCAGGGCACGGAATCGGACCTAGGGCGCGATTTAGAGCGATGGTTGAATATTTTCGAAGTCTACAACCAGGTCTAGTCTTATCTTTTCAATATAAAGGCCGCTACCCCACAGCCAAGGTTTCCAAGCACCCAAGGTTCCCCTCAAAGCCCATTTCGTCATTGTTCAACCCAATTCGCCTCTCTTCTCCTCTTCCAAATAGTAACTCCAAACATATCAATCCCAAAATGCCCTCCCTCACAGTAGCAGTCGCGCAATCTCGCACACACGAACCCCTAGCCGAAACCCTCCGCGCCCTCGAACGGACAACCGCCCTCGCCGCCCGTCGCGGCGTCCACCTCCTCCTCTTCCCGGAAGCCTATCTAGGCGGATACCCGCGGACATGCTCCTTCGGCTCTGCGGTTGGAAGTCGACACCCGCGCGGTCGGGATCAATTTCTCGCATATTTCAAGGCAGCAGTTGATCTAGGCGACACGCCGGCTGGGGCCGGGGATGAGTGGATTGGTCGCAGGCTGGAGATTGCCGAGGGGAAGAGATTCCGGGGAGATGGGACGAGGGAGTTTCTTGAGCGTGTTGCGAGGGAGACTGGGGTATTTATCGTTACGGGCTTGGTGGAGAGAGCCGGGGGTAGTTTGTATTGTGCTGTTGTTTACGTCGATCCTGTTAGAGGTGTATTGGGGAAGAGGAGGAAGGTTATGCCGGTATGGATTTCCCTATTTCTTCCTTTCTCATTCTAGTATCGATCCTGTACTGATCTTGATAGACGGCCGCTGAACGCATGATATGGGCTCAGGGGTCTCCCTCAACCCTCCGCGCCGTTACAACAACCCTAAATGGTATCCCACTTACCATAGCATCGGCAATCTGCTGGGAGAACTACATGCCCCTCCTACGTCAGAGTCTGTACTCCCAGAACGTCAATATCTATCTCGCTCCCACAGCCGACGCCCGTAGTACCTGGCTCCCGCTCATGCGCACTGTCGGCATAGAAGGCCGCTGCTTCGTTCTCTCAGCGAACCAGTGCGTGCGCGGCTCCGAGCTGCCGGAGTGGATTAGAGGTGAGAATTCGGGTCAAAGCCAGAATCAAAATCCAAACCCGGATATTCCTGCGGCTAAATTGCAGGATCCTGCTAGGAAACTGTCTATCACCACTGAGGGTCCGCATGAGATTGTCTGGCCGCAAACTCATAGTGAGCCCCAGGGTCAGGGTCAGGGTCAGGCTGAGAATTCCTCCACGTCGAATACTAAGGATTCCCTAGCTCCTTCGGGCTCGGTAAGGGATTATGTCTGTCGTGGTGGAAGTTGTATTGTCTCGCCGCTTGGGGAGGTTCTTGCCGGTCCGCTGTGGGAAGTCTGCACCGATGACGTGCCGGATAGTAGCGATGCCGCGGTCATGGATTCCGCGCCTGCCACGTCGACTACTGAGTCTAGTCCCCCGGTTGCGGCGGGTGATGGGCTGGCTATCGCGTGCATTGATTTGGATGATTGTGAGCGCGGACGGCTTGATCTTGATGTTGCTGGGAGTTATTCACGAAGTGATGCGTTTAAATTCGAGGTTGAGGGGTTGGATCTGGCGCCGCCGCCTTTGTAGGAAGTTGAATTCACTGAGTAGGGCATATGGTATTGATTGAGTATTGATGTAATGGAATGAATATGAGTTCGTGGATGACCTGCGAAGAATGCCGCTAACAAATATGGAATTCTAAAACTTTCTACTCAAAAAAGCACAATCGTAGCAGAATCCCAGATTCTAGTCGTCAAGGCAAAGAGAAAAAGAATAAAACTCGACCCCAGCCCCAACTATAAACTGCAAACTGCCACCGCTGAACGACTGAAACGCCTCGGGATATCAACGGATATTAACAAGTCATGATCTTCGTCGCCATGCCAGCATGTGACAGCTCTGTTCTCTATGTACAGCCTGTACAGCCCCCGCACCATTTCGGTCAAGAGCCATTGCAAGTGGTCACGAAATTAATCCAGCTGCACTCATGTAGCACCGTTTATTCCACTAGCCACACGGGCGACTTGATCAGCACCGTTGCAGGGCCCTTCCCGCGCACTTCGACGGCCAAGAAGGCTGCGAACCGGATACGCGGGTTGCTTGGAGCTACATCCGCAGGCTCGTTCTTGTCTTCGGTTGGTCCAGGCGCCGGCGCCGGCGCCGGACGACTGATCTCGCCGGAGGCATGCTTGCGGCTTATCAACGCGCCAAAAATGGACTTCTTCGTGGGCTTTTGCTGTGCCGGTGAGGCGTTCTCTATCACTCCGACGGTTGAGCCGGATGAGGCATCTCCCTCTGTTGCGGCAGGCTCCTCGAGCTGCTCTTGGTCTGAGGGTGGTGGGGGCGGATGGCTCAGCGCTGGTAGTTGGCCTTCGACCTTCATGTACTGCTCTGCGAGGGAGATTCCCGGTGGGAAGTAATCGACGCAGACATCACGGGCTTCGAGGGGAATTTTCTCGATGATGTTGATTGAGTTCTCAATGATCATGCGCACGCTTGCTTCTAGCCCAGGCAGCGCGGTTTCGTGCAGCTGGGATGCCATGAAGGCAGCGAGTTCCACGATTAAATGCTCGACTAGTTCAGCGCGATGTGCTTGGGCATCAGGTCCGACCAAGGAATCAGTCAGTCCGTCGAAGGTCGTGCGGCGCCAGTAGGAGAGTCTCGCAGAGGCATTCTCGCGGTCTTCATCGGATGATGGTCGCTGCCGTCGCAGGTTCATTTCGATATTCTTCAGTTGCACGCTGAATGCTGGATCCAAGGACGGATGGAAATAACGCTGGAATACCTCTTCTACTAGCCATCGGCTGATTACGGCCCGTCCGACCGCAGTCATTTCTTTCGTGCCGACCGATAAAGCATCATCGGTGACCATTCCATTCAGCCACGATGGAATACTGCGCCAATTTTTGCGCACTGAGAATGCTAGGTCTTTAATCGCTCCGTCAAGCCGCTGGAATCGGCTGGTATATTCATTATCGTCAAGTACGGTACGCGACACCGCCATCCGTTGGTGCGCTACCGTGTTCTGGAGATGCTGAACCTGCGCATCTTTCTCAAAGTAGTATCGTTTCACCTTGGAATATTTGGCCTCTGCTCATCGTTAGTGTATCAAAGCAAAACTCGAATCAAAAACCTTACGGAGTTCATCATGCTTCTGGATCAATGCCCGCACGTCCACTTCCCCAGAATCCTCGCGGCGGTGTGTAATGGTGGGTGTGCTCCGTCCGGGATCAGGCATGTTGTTTGACACACTACCCTGCCGACTCCGGTTCTGCTGCGGAGAACCTGCGGATTTTTGTCTGTCCAATTGATGGAATTGACTCTGGTTCTGTGATGCCTGCGTGGAAGACTGCATGGCGTCAGGATAAGTGGACTGTAACGGGGAAAGCGGCTCGTGAGTCTGCTGGGATGGGGGCCGGGTATTCAATACCAGATCCTGGGCAGGGGGGAAAGCCTGTCCCCGATGAAGATGTTCCGACGCGTATCGTGGTGATTCGGGGACAATATCGGTGGGCGACGGTCGGACGTACTGCTCAAGTAGGGTTGGGTCGGTGGTGGATCGCTGGAGTTTGGTATAAAGCGGCTGCAATCGTTGCTGTGACCACTCCGTGTTGTCTTGCCCGTGAGCAGGATGGGAAGGTCGGGGACCTCGCTGAGCCTGGTATTGCTGTTGGTGGGCGAGAGATTGGGTTGCCGTCACCGGTGAGGGGTTCTCCGCGTAGGAATGCCGATGTGGGTGAAACTCGTCAGACTCGTCCAGGGTCTCTGGATGCAAAGTTCCGGGCGAGGTAGGCTGTGAAATGGGAAGGGATATTGTTTTGCCCTTGACAGAGGCGCTACGCTCGACACGGCCCTTTTTGCGATGCGAGTCGTTAGGGGCGACAACGTTGACGGTCGGTCGATCACGCAAAGGTTTATGACGCTGACTCTGTGACCTATTTAAAGTCTGAGGGTGATTCTGCACAGAAGGAGCGAAGTACTCGAATTGTGAAAAGCGCCGGTCTGAATCGGTGTGTATGTTGGGGTCCGGTGGAGCAAACGCGGGGCGGGCCAACTGTTCGTCGCTACGCATAGAATGATGACTTGTCCGATTCGAAGGTGACTTCTTAAAAAGGTTGCGCATCACTGCTTCTGATCTTGAGAAAAAGGGGAGAGGGAGAGAGAGGGGCAGAGGCTGATTTGGTGGACCTGGGGTCGACGGGCGGTGATTGGAGAGGTTGTTCTATATATAGGGTAAACAATGGATGACCTTGGACTTTGCAGCAGAGTATGCGAATGCATTAAAGGATATGATAGATAAACTAATAGTATAGTATCTAATTGCAACAATAGTGCTAATGTCAATTACCTGTGACAAGTGTATGTAGATATCGGTCCTGACCACAGGCTATGTATAGCTATATGAACAGACCATCAAAGAAAAATAACCATTTGAAAGAACAGCGCTACAATTTCCTATACAGGTTATTCAAAGTCGAATACTTTTGAGAAAATGGAGAACATTGAAACGAACACGAGCCATATACGAGCATCGTCATCTACTACATACCATACTTCGGTTATAAACCGCCCCCAAATTCCCTGGGTCTCTATAATCAAAATTACGGATCCGCTCTACAGGCGAAGCAAATTATATTTCTCGTATCAAGTACCATTCCCCACACCAAGAATGGTGGAGTCGAAATATGTGATGGAGCCGTTTCTCTCAGCCTCGGACCAACGCGTCCAGGGCTGAGCTCAAGAGCAGACACGCGTACGGAGTAGACAAAAACTCGACATCTTGCTATTAGGCTCTTCTACTTAATAACTCGAAAGCGATACTGCTCCCTACGATCCAAAAATACAACCTTGTCCACTAACCCCGCCGCCTCGACGATCCGCCTGAAATCTTCTAGCGGACTCGCAAACACGTCGTAGTCATCATAGTGGATCGGGATTGTAACGTCTGGTCGAATCAGCTGAATCAATTGCAGACCCTGCTCCGCGTCCATGGTGACCATCAACGCTAGTGGTTCCATTAGTCTTCCTACTAATGGGGAAGGAATGGTTGTGCCGCCGAGGTGGGCAAGCATCAGGTCGATTCGCTGACCTGCGTATCGCTTAGGGATTTCTTGCAGCTCGTCTACCAACAGAGTGTCTCCCGAGATGTAGATGCGATAACCGCAGGAGAAGTCTGTAGTATTTGGTCTGCCGTAGCCTAGCTCGAGCATCCAGCCGTTGGTTGGCGGGATCTGTTGGTCTGTTAGTTTGAGAGCCGACTAACTGGGAACATGTTGAAAAAAGAGACTCCACCCACCGCTTTGGCTAGCTTGTTGAGCTTCTCTACCACTCGGTTAGGAGGCACGTGCTTCCCCGGCATCCCCGTCACACGCAGTCGGGGCTGTTGTGACTCTGCTGTGCCTTCAATATTCACCTCAACCTGCTCAAACGGATCGAGCGCGGACACAGATGTAAAAGAGTCATTTTTTTGTGAAGTGAGATGCTCCTTCGCATGTTGTGTCGTGATAATGGGTAGATCACGCCTCAATGAACCCTCGACCTTTTTATCAAAGTGGTCCCTGGCAATATCAATGGTCTGCTCAACACCTCTAGGCTCCTAGACATACTCGTGATAATGGGAGAGAAGGACAAGATCAATCCGAGGGAGTTCGTGCAGGTCGACAGCCGGATCGGTGAGGCGCTTACTTGACACTCCTGGACCGAGGTGGACATGGTCGCCTGCGTGGAGGAAGTTGGGCTAACCCAGTCAATTTATGAGCACTAGGCTTCCCATCAAGAGCTTACATCAGTCATAATTCGTATTCCGGCCCATTCTCTGCTTCGTTTAGTACACGCTGATAAATTTGTAGAACTGAACAGACATGATTGTTGTGGCCGTTCCAACAAAGAATACGGCTGCGTTCTCATCACCTGATTTGGATGGGTGAAGCTTCATCGCCTTGGCTGGTGGAAGGTGAGCCGGGGTAGAAGTGGACAGTGGAAGGTCTCGGGTTGGAGGGTCATTCCTCTTCGGGTCAATCGAGATGCGCTCCATGGTATATGAGTAGGTATAAGTGAGGGGATAGATGGTAGGAAAAGCAAGCACTGCAGCTCCCAAGGTTTAAGGGAGGTCTTTGGCTACTCCTATATACATAGCCTTGGAGATCTGCGTATACATTACATCACAATCGACGGTTGATCCAAGAGCAAAAGCTGGTTTCCTGTCATGGAAAAGCAATCTGGGACTGAGGGCTATCCCCCGCGAATCAGGGCGTTAGGTTGTCAGGTTCATTAATTCATTTATTTCAATTGCATAGTCCATATTCTACTAGATACCAATCCAATAAGTTGGATCCTGTCGTAGGAGCACAAGGTACTCTCCAGGGCTGCGTGTGACACTGACATAATTCATCCTCGAAACTACTCCATCCAAGCCATGTCCTTTGCACGCATATTCTGAAGATTAGCAGTAGGGCGTTGAAGACCGCGGGGAAATTAACACACGCCATGTGTCTTTCCAGTCTTGCCCTGCAGCGAGTGTTCCTCGCCTATGTAGTGAGCGTGGACACGCGACTGGTGCTGAGGGTGCTTGCGGTGGCTCAGGAAATGCCTGTGGAGCTGTCAGTATCGAAATGAAAACAACTAGGACAGAAGAAACTTACGACCTGTACTTGTCAAACATGGATTTGTCCATAACATCCAAAGTCTCTATAGCAAGTTTGAAGTCCTGGAGCAAGCTGTCGCATCGGTTCATGCTGAAGTCTTCGCGGATGACAATGCGCATCATCTTCAGCTTCTCGCTGTTGGGCGCCATGGTGTATGCAGGTACAATCCAGCCCCGCTCGCGTAGCTGGTGGGCCACAGCGAATTCATCGTAGACACGACTGTCGTCTGTTGGAAGGCGCCAGGCCACCAGCGGCAGGCCCCGACCCTGCGTCTGGCTCAAGATGACCATGCCCATCTTCTTAAACTCCGAAGCCATGTAGTCGCTGATGCGAGTAATGTTGGTCATAATTGCACGGTAACCGTGCTTACCCAGGCGGATCAGCTGGTAGTACTGCCCAATAACATGAGAAGCACCCTTGGAGAAGTTCAGAGTAAAGCTGGCCTGGTCGGCTCCTAGGTAATTAATGTTGAATACCAATTCCTGGGGCAGGTACTCCGGAGAGCGCCAGATGACCCATCCGACACCGGGGTAGACCAGACCATACTTGTGACCGGAGACGTTGATAGAAACCACCTTTTCCAGGCGGAAGTCCCACTTAAGATCAGGCTGGATGAATGGAGCGACAAAGCCACCACTAGCTGCATCAACGTGGATTGGGCAGTCGAGGTTACGCTCCACTAACAGATCGTTGATCGCCTTGACATCCTCGTATTCACCGGTGTAGGTGGTACCTAAGATAGCGCAGATACCGATTGTGTTCTCATCCACCAAATCGACTGCCTCTTTGGGGTCGATCACGAAGCGAGTGTCGGTGCAGTAGATGTACCTCTCCTCAATCTCGAAGTAACGAGCAGCCTTTTCCCAGCAGACCTGGACAGCACTGTTCATAATAATGTTGGGGCGGGAGTAGTCCTTGCCCTCGGCCTTGCGCTTGTTCTGCCATCGCTTCTTCATAGCCAGTGTTCCCAGCATAATAGCCTCGGAAGACCCAATGGTTGAAGTGCCCATGGCATTCTCACCGGAGGGATCAGTGGGAATGTTAAAGAGTCTAGCAATCATATTCACGCATCGGTTCTGGATCTCGGCGGAGTGGGGATATTCCTCGTAATCAATGAAGTTTTTGCTGAAAGATTCGCTCATAATCTGCTCGATCTCGTCTTCCATATAGGTGGTGACGAAACTGGCGAGGTTGAGCTTGGGATTGCCGTCCAGACTCAGCTCATCCTTGATCATTCGAGCAGCAACTTGGCGGGGCATCTCTCGCTCTGGCATTTCATGCATAGGCATATGGTCGGCGGCAAAGTGACTGCCGTAGACATTGGTGTCGAGGTCGTTTCTGTCCGGGGGAGAAATGGAGAAAATGTCATGAGTAGAGGATGGGACCTCATTGTCCTTCTTGACTTTGGCGAGATGGACCATTATTGCGAATAAATGCAAAGATCAAAGACTAAAAAGAACCAAATAAAAAGCAGCAATTGAAGAATTGAAGGAATAGGAGAGGGGAAGAGCAGGGAAACAATAAATACACCCAGGAGGACGTGCGCGGGGGTGTGACGCAGGAGAAGCCACACCGAACCACCGGGCAATCAGCCCATCGCTTTTCCTTCTTCTGTTTCTTCTACCTTTTCTACTTCTTATTCCTTCCATATACGGTGTTCAATATTTCTAATTCAATCTACTCTCTCTCTTCTGCTATGTATTCATATACACAAAACTCCCAAACGAGATCTCGGTTTTGCTAAAGCTTGGTCAAAGCTTGGCAGGGCGAAGTGCCGATGGACCCGGTCTGCGCCTCTCATATGGAGCCACATGGAATGGGAAGAGGTCCAAGAGTCCACTCAGAGCTTACTCTCACGCAGAGTTTCCACCTCGGCGAATTGATAGTAGAAGTCTAAACTCTTCGGGTTGAGCAGTGTACCCGACGGCTTAATCATTTTTCCCGAGACAATCTGCTTCACAGGGAGTTCCACCTTTTTCAGGTTGACCGTAGTCTGTGATGATATACGTGGATCAGTCCCGCTTTTACGGATCTCGTTTTGTCTACCAAGGTACATACCGGAATTTCAGGGGTCTCGAACGTGAACATGGGCACATGGCGAGGGCTCAGCTCTGAACGAATCGCGCTCTTCACCCGTGCAACCAGGTCTGGTGTGAACGCCACCCCTGGTCTCATGAGCAAAAAGAGTATCACTCTCTCGTCCATATCTGTTGGTCGTCGCTGGCCTACGCATATGGAATCGCTAATCGCTTTCGAAAATTGGCTCTCGAGGACCCGATAAATCTCGGCCGATCCAAACCGCACTCCCGACGGGTTGAGCACCCCATCGGCGCGTCCGTGAAACACGATCTGTTTCGTGATTGGATGGATGGAAACGAAGTCGCCGTGTGTCCACACATCTGTAGAGAATTAGCGACCGTAGTCATAGGCACGGGGGGTAGTGGCCCCACTATCGAATCTCCCAAAATACGCATCATGGTACTTCTTGCCGCTCTCGTCAACCCAGAACAGCGTGGGCATGTTGGGAAAAGCAGATGTGGCAACTAGTTCGCCCGGAACACCGTCCTCCACGGGTACTCCCTTGATTCCGTCGCCGCCCTCAATTGTAGAGTCGTAGACCTCCACGGGAATGCCCAGACTGCATCCGGCGCACCCCCCAACGTATAGGGGTACAAGAGGGTTGCCTGTTCCAAAGGATCCTGCGATATCAGTGCCACCAGAAATATTATTCAGGCGAGCATGGGGTGGGAACCCTTCGTCATAGAACCACTCAAACAATGCATCCCGAAGGACCATACCAGTGCTTGTGACAACCCGTAACGAGCTGAGGTCGACTTTCTCGCGGGGTTTGATCTTAGCCTGTTGTAACTCATGGAGCCACCGGGGTGATATTCCAAGGTGGGTCACCCTGCAATTGATTAGCCGGGGACTGTAATTGTGCATCGTAGAGTGAATGCCAACAGAAGAATCACTTACTTCTCCTGCGCCGCAAGATCAACCAAAGCAGTGATACCCGGAACAAATGGGCTTCCATCATACAGCACCACCCGCACACCAAAGAGTAAAGTCTGCACGGCAGCCATATACATAATCCATCCAGTGGTCGTATATTGCAAGGTCACACAATCAGGCCCGAGATCACTATGCAGTCTCCCCTCCTTGCTCGAGTTTAGAAGCACGCCTCCCACGGAATGGACGATACACTTCGGCTGCCCTGTCGTGCCAGACGAGTAGACCACCAAGAAAGGATCGCGGAATCCAACTCTTTCGAATTCAAGTTTCTCGTTTCCGCCCGCCTTTGCGAGGAACTCGGCCAGAGTCTTGGTCTTAGGGATGGAGCTGATATCCGCCGGCCGCGAAGAGAACCGAGGTAGTCCGACGACTCCCTCGAATTCAGGAACAGACTCCATGCCTCGAACAATTTCCCCAATCTTCGCTCGCAAGTCAATTGTCTTGCCATTGTAAACCGCCAAGTCGTCCATAAACAGCCAGCGAGGCTTGATCTGAAGCAGTCTATCCAGCACACCCTTCGTACCCATATCCGTGGAACTAGACGAGAAGATAGCTCCCAGAGCCGTTGACGCCAGGAACACAAGTAGTGTATCGATGCTATTCGCCGCGCAGAGAGCAATGCGATCACCCCGAACGACCCCATGAGCCTTCATGGCCTGGACTAGCGCTCCAGTGCGTCGTCTGAGTTCACCCCAGGTGAGATGGACAACCTCATGCGGAGCGCCTTCTCGGGCTTCGCTAACGGCAATCTTGTCGTCTTCCTTGTCTGTTTTGTCTCCAACAGTGTGCGAGAAAAGCAGGTTCTCGGCGAAGTTCAGACGTACACCGGCGAACCATTCGGGCACGCTGTCCATTCGAGCAGATTCATCGACTACCTTTGTGTAGGAGCCCTCGTGGATCAGTTGGAAGTACTTCCAGCAGAATTCCCAGAATGCCGAATGGTTCTTGACTGAATACAGGTACATATCATGGAAGGACTGGAAGAAGTTAGATAGATAGTATCTTTACACAGGCCAATTTCACTCACGTCGAACTTGCGTCCGGTGGAGTTCTCTAGGTCTCGCTGGAAGTGACCCATCTGGGTCGACTCGGGGGCTGGATGCTGCCATATTTTACGTGGAAGAGATGTCATCTTGAAGGATTGAAGTGACTATATGTCAGAAATGTATAGTTTCCCCAGATTTATACACATCTTGGAAGGTTACCGAGGCCCGAAACAGCTGTAAGCGGGTAACCTGCGGGAACCCCGCTTGGAGACATGGCTAGACCTATTCTGTACATGTACATATTGAACATCTACACATCCTAGTATTGACACAAGTCCAATCTCACCCGTGGACTATATCGTTTACCACTTGAGCCTTACCAGAAGAGGCATCGTAACAACCGCTCGAAGAACGGAGAATCTGGTCACCAACAAGCCAGGTATTTCCATTTACTTGCTTGATGGACTCTCTAACATGGACCATATTTTGGGCTGAATGGTAACGTCTTCCATACGATGTGGACTAAGAAGGGGGAGATGATGTATTTCATAGCCAGAATGTAAAGACTAAGAACCAATGAGAAATAGGTAGTAAAAGAATGGTGAAGTAAAAGAACCCAGGCATGGATTCTAGTATAAATTATGTACGTATTTCGTAGACATGCAGCCAACTTCAGAGGGAATAGCCGTTACATTTGAATACTGATGTGACAGGACTAGGTTGTGCCTTCCTACTTACACACGCCTTCTCTTTCAAGTTCACCTTCCCTGGGCTTTCTTTCCCTTCCTCTTTTCTCCTTTCTCTCTCCATCTACTCTCACACACTAATACAAACCCTGTCTCCCTGGAAACACATAAGGGCCTGGGATTAAGAGTCCAGATTCCATTGAATCCACTTTTAGAAAGTTCGCTGACAAAAAGGCCATTCAACCTTGGAGCCCTGAAGGCGTTGGGCGGACTCTCAACTCAGAATCTCCACACCCTAACTCACCTAGGCGTACCGAGAAAAGCTCACTTTGTGAAGAAAGGGAGAATTCAAGACGAAGTTATCGCAGGTTTCTTCAGGCCGAACTAAAGCGACAGGCAACCTGTCCCAAAGGCACAATTCACGCTATGCACAATCTCATTCACCTCTGTTCTCGGCAAGAGGTAAGACACGATAGCTTCATAGAGGCTAGTGTGAGAACTAATATAGCCTTATTATAGCCACTGAATCCCAAAATGACCCACAAGATCGATATCCGTCTGCCGAAATGTCGTATCAATACTATTCATCCATGTTCCTTTTCCCTAAGAAGGCTTCCTTCAAACTGCTGGAGGCCGCCACAGCCAGGAAGTACATGGCTCTGGGTAAAAGTATTTTATTATGTCTAACAGCACTAAAGTTTCCAAAGTTGATAATTGTATAGAGTAGAAGATGGAAGCAGACTTCACCATTGCTAAGGACGAATGCTACGACTACAAGATCGGTCCTCATGATTTCGGTCCCAACAATTTTCCCTGAGATCATCAACTTGGGCAATCAGTTTTCAATTCTCACTGGCCCATCAGGGTGTCATACTCTACGGGTTGCCATGTTGGTGATATTGTCTCCACTGGACCACTACCCCTGACTAGTGATGACCTAGAGTGGATGGCGATGATACTAGAATACTGATTCGCCGGGGAAGGGATTCATTGAAGCTCCATTCGATGTTCATCTGGGGCTACGCATTGACACCTGACTAGCGGTGTACATCAGACAACTTGGGAGCCCAACACGTTAAAGTCATCCAGCGACTTAGAATTACTTTTTACATTACAAGGCCTCAGGACACAAATAATAAGCACTATGATTCTGATTCTGATATATAATTTCAACTGGTGTATCATCAAAGCCTGACAAAAGAAAGAAAAACAAAGCCTGAGGCAGCCTGCGGTAGCCTGCAAGCCCCAACATCCCCACCTAGCGTACAACACATATCATACACCGGCTCTCTCACTCCCCACAGTAAAATTACTTCACTCATTTGAACTTGCGCTTCAACCAGGACAGGAAACCACCCTTCTTCTTCTCAACCTGCTCTGCTACCTCAGATGTCTTCTGAGTCTCCTGTTGGGCCTTGCCAGTCTCCTCCTTGACAGGCTCAGCCTTGGACTCAGGCTTAGGGAGCGGCTCCTCGCCACGCTTCAAGGCAGCTTCGGGCTTCTTGGGCTCAGCCTCCTTAACAACAGGCTCGGCGGCACCAGCAGCAGCAGCCTTATCGCCCTTAGCAGAGAGAATGGCAGCGTTCGCGGCGGCGACCGCTTCAGGAGAGGAAGCAGGCTTGTCGGCGCCGGATTGAGCAGGAGTGGTCTTGGGGCCAGACTCGGCAGGGATCTTTTCTTCGGCGACCTTGGGTGTCTCAGCAGCCTCCTTAGGTGCCTCAGCGACCTTCTTCTCCTCGTCAACCTTGGGTGTCTCGGCAACCTCCTTAGGTGCCTCGACCTTCTCCTCAGCAACCTTGGGTGCCTCATCCTGGACAGGCACAGGCTCAGGGGTCGTGAGCGCAGCAGTGGAAGCGGGTCCAGCACCGGCCAAGGTATCAACGGCCTTCTTGTCCTCCGCCACGCTAGCCGGGAGCGCCTCCTCGTCAGTCTTGGGCATCTTGTGGGGCTTGAGGTTCTCTTCGTTGTTGAAGATGGGCTTCTCATACGGCCGCTTGGTGTGGGCAGCATCGCTTTCGACGGGGGCGGCAGTAGGCTCAGGCGCAACGGCAGCAGGGGCGGTTGATTCCGATGTCTTGGGGCGCTCGGCCAGTGTCGCAGGAACGCCGGCCGTGGTAGCCAAGGAAGCGGGCTCCTTGGGGGTCGTCTCCGGGAGGAGAGCTGCAGATTTCTAGGTCAGTTGAATCTTTGTCGCATTTTTACTAACACGTGTCATACCAGTGCCTGCGGCAGCGCCATCTTCCAACTCGCCCAACTGGCCGGCCTTGGAGGCCTGCGCTTTCTCCACAGCCTCATCCACTGTACCCTCTGTCGCGAGGACTTTCTCGGCCGTCACAGCCTCCTTGGTCTCCACATCCTTAGTCTCCGCTACAGCTGGGATCTCAGTTGCGGGGGCCTCGGGCGCCTTAATGGGCTCGGCGACGGTCTCGGTAGGCTGTGTTGCAGTCTCGGGCGCCGCTGTCTGCTCGGCGGTCTCAGTCTGGCCTTCGGTTTGCTTGGTCTGCTCCTCGGTTTGATCGGGTTCACTGAAGAGTCAGATGGTGATGTGGCATAATTGAAATTTTCAACTTACACCACGTCCTTGACATTCTCTACAGCAGCAGCGACGGGCTTGCTGCCCTTCTTGTTCTTCTTTCCTCCTTTCTTACCCATGGTTGAGATTAAATTGATTCTGCGCTGGTCAGAATATGAACGATGGTAGAAAGAAGAGTTAACTTACTATAGTAGTGAAGTGTAGGAAGGAAGAAGTCAAGGAAGGGATGACGCGGTATGTTCTCTTCTCTAGGGTTCTTGGATCCGTGGTGAGGACAAGTTCTGGAACACAAAGTATCACAAATTTAATCTCGCCTTTTTCCCTTCCTACTTTAGTTCTAGTTATTATTAGATTCAAATTCAAATTTCTATTCAAAATCAAAGAATTGCATTCGTTATATATTCTCCCTTTTTTTTCCCTTTCTTTACTCTACATTCCTCCGCATGCGATGTCTCTTTCATAGTTCCCTGGTCGTGTGAGCATGGGCCAGCCCTAACATCTGCATCGGGTAAATAGGGTTGTGCCTGCACAACTAGGGGCCGTCCAGGGGCACTCTGGGCAGGGGGCTCCAGGATGATCTGGGGAAAGGCGCAAAGTATAACGCAGTATATATCCCATTATTCCCAAGTTATTCAGGGACTGGACATTCTTCGTGGAGAAAGGGTCCAGGGCAAAATAGCGATTACATCATCTCAAAAAGGATAGAAGATCACAACCAAAAAAGAAAATAGTAATCATAAGAATAGTAAAATGAGAACTTACAACTAAAATGCAAGATCCATAGCTTTGAAAGGACCTCCAATAGAGCCAAAAATAGCAACCCCACTAGATGTACTTTGTATACAATGAATGTACTGCACAGCAGTGGATTGGGTACCTACATGCATACATAAGTAATATTATATAGGATCGCGAATAATGCCAACTCTGTCTTTGACAAACCATAAGGTTATCAATATATACTATATACACATCGCACACAGTAAATAAAACAAAAACAAAAGCCGAGTACATATAATTAGACAAAAGTGAAACAAAAAAGAACAGTGACCGACGCAGGGGTCGAACCTACAATCTCTTGATTCGAAGTCAAGCGCCTTGCCATTGGGCCAGTCGGCCTGCTATATATTATTAAGCAAAAATATGTTTACATTTTTTGCCACAGGCAAACGCGGCAAAAACGTGCCGAGTGGGGGTGAGCGGGGCAATCGGGCAACCAAAGTTCCACTCCGATTCCGGTTTATTCCCGTGCGGCATTTCATGACATTTCATGACACATCCTGTTACAAAATAGTATGATGTAACTCTGAGGCTCTCACCGGCCGAGTTTCTGGAAGCCTTCGCTGCAGTACTAGGTACGGACGCCACTGACATCTCGGGGGATGATCATATTTATTATACTTGATTCATGGCATACCACCTGAACGTATGGAGGATCTGGAGGATCCAGTTCGCTACCACTATATGTAAGTCCCTAAGTGTAATAGTAACAGTAACATTGCGATTCCTTGGCCCAGACTCGGCCGGTACTCGGGTCAGTTACTCGGAAATTAATTTCACTTACCATAGGAGTATACGAAGTAGTACGGAGCACAAGATTCACTCTACTCCAGGGAATGTGTTAAGACTATGTTTTGAATATTGAAGGAATATAGAGCGAATAGTAGGATAATGATAATGATAATGTTGAGTTCTCGCACAGACAGTGGATTCCACCAGAGGCCATTAGGATTGCCGTTATTGCCTTTGCCCCAATATCCTCACCGGATATGGACCAGAGACGCTTCTGGGGTATCCGGACATCCATCCCACTTGCTTATCTCTTGCCGTTGCATCCACGTTAATACTATAATTCCCGCATTTCCCTCTTCTACTTCCTTCTTTTCTCTTTTCTGTACTCTTTCCCTCCCTTGCTATATTCTCATAGAATGATTACACTGTTCCTGATCCAAAACCCCCGCTATTCGTGCTTGCACACCCACCGCGTCCGTTCCCAATCCGGGAGTGGTATGCACCACTGAGGCATTTTCTCCAGGAACCGCCCGCATTGATCTCTGGACTTCTTGAATTTGAATCTTGAATATCCCAGTTCATAATTCTTTTCTATTTCCAATATGGCGTTCCGCGAGAAGGTCAAGCGGGTGTTCCGCTCCAAATCCAAAAATGATGGAAAGCCTAAGATCGAATATTACAGACGACATGAGTGTCCCCCTTCTAAATTTCGAGGTCCATTCGACCGTGACCACCAAAAAGCCCTAGCCGCTTGGTCCTTCCAGGGCGCGATGGTTGAACGGACTCGTTCACTTGAAATCTCCGTGTCGCCCTGTGCCACATGTTCCGACGATTACTCCAGCCCGTCCGACACTGACAACTCGGTATCGCCGGATGATGGAGTCGATGTCGATCCAGGTACGCATCCCCAGCCCTAGCCGAAATCTTCATCCCTATCCAAAAAAAAAAATTCTAACTTCACTTTTTCTCGATAGCCTCCTCCAACCCAGAGGCCCCTGCTGAATCCTCGCCACGAGCCCCCGAGTCCGGCTCCCAGTCCTCTACCATCGTCAACCCCTCCAGCTACAATGGCTCAATGATGACCCTTATAAACGAGGGCTCTATCTACGAGATCCCTGAGGATTCAAAGGAACCCAAGTTCTTCCTCAAGGAGTCCATCCGCTACTCATCACCCCTCGTCCGCGCCATCTCGCCCGCCATAACCCCGTGCGTCATGTCCGCCAGAAAGGACCTCCCTTTCGCCCCCGAGGATCTCACCCGTGCCTTGATCGCCGTCCAGGTCTGCGCCTGATTGATCTATCCCTTATCGCCAACCTACTTTCTTCACATCCAAGTGATGTGTTCATTTTTCGAATCATCCCTTCCGTTCCTCAAGACTCGATGTCTTTCGTTTATTCAACCTTTTTTTTTTGGCTGCTTTTCGATCCCTTGGGACCACAGTCGGGCATGACCTTTCATAACTATTTCGAGTATCGATGTCCGCTATCCGTGAAACGCCGTACTGGCACGCTGTTTCACTCCCATCACTTGCCGAGTCGCTCC